GGGGGGGGGGGGGGGGGGGGAGGGGAGGGATTGGATACAGGTTCCAAGGGAATGGAGAATGTGAGGAGAGTCTTGGAATATGAATTAGAGTAGTGTATTTCAAACATAGGCCTGAGTTTCATACTACTTTTTCCTTCCTCATATGATTTGGAAAATCGTTAATTATGGGAGGATATTTATTGGAAAGGCAGAAAGAGGGAATGAGTAAAGAACTGGATATAAATCATCCCCCTTGTTTAATATTTTTAATAGAAGTGTCTTGAGCTGGCTGGATTCTTAATTACCCTGATAAAATAAATGCTAAATGAGTTAAGCTCAGTAGTAGCAACAGTGCAGCTTTAAAGAGTTGCTTAAATACAACTTTTGTTATTAAGGCAAGTAACTAATTAAATTCTCGTCATCTTTTTGCGCTAAGCAGGACTCACACCTTCTCCCACAGCATAAATTTTAAATACGAATGATTGGATTTGTACAAACATCACAGAGGACAGATTTTTACAGTACTGAATTAGGCATAGAGACTGCTAATGGCTGGCACCAGTCCTTGCCAGGTTGGTTGGAAACACAAATGCTGAAAGCTGCAGTGGTTTTTTTTTGTTTCCAGTCAAGCTGATACATACTTTAGTTCTTAAGCTAATATAACCTAAGGATGGTTTTTCCTCAATTGTAAATATAGGGAATTTAAAGAGAAGCTGTATTTTCATCTGTAAAATATTCTGCTGTCTTAGCAGAAAATGTTGTCGTATACAAGACAGTTGTAGGAGTGCCCCATACAGCACCAGAGATTTGCATGCTCCTACCAACTTCTGTACTTACTGTTTATCCATGACAGTGAGATTCATTCCAACATCTAAATTAAAATTTCAGTATAAAAGGCCAGTTGGGGTTTTAGTTCTGAATTACTGGAGGATGCATTGTTTCAACAATTATGTTTGTAAGTTTTTCATATTTCTTTTACATTTTAATTATAACTCATCAAATCTTAACTGATTACTCCTGGGTTAGACTCAGAAGAATGTCACTGAAGGGTGTTTTAATTTAATGGAAGCAGTGTAACAGCTGTTTCTAATGTTTTAAAAGCCAATTTATATGGAAATTTTGCTTTAGCAGGAAGTCAATAGATATGTAGTTTCCTAACACCTCATGTAAAATTTCAGAACTTGAATTAAAGCAGCACCAAAGCAATGCCATTCTTTCTTGTGGTGTGTGATTGCATTTTCACAGCCTTTCATTTGTATCCTTTTCCTTCTGTTGAAATGAAGTTTTTATTTGTCTTTTGTAGTCGAGCTATCAAGACAAACCAGGACCTTCTGCCTGAGACGCCGTGGACCCATGTCTTCTACAATGACTTTTGGGGGACACTGCTCACTCACAGTGGGAGCCACAAGTCCTACAGACCTCTCTGCACGCTCTCCTTCCGCATTAACCATGTTGTTGGAGGGATGGACCCATGGGGCTACCACCTTGTAAACATCCTGTTACATGCTGCAGTCACAGGCCTTTTCACAAACTTCTCCAGGATCTTGTTTGGGGATGGGTACTGGACGTTGATATCGGGCTTGCTGTTTGCATCTCATCCGATCCACACGGAAGCTGTAGCAGGGATCGTAGGGAGGGCGGACATTGGAGCCTGCCTCTTCTTTCTGCTTTCCCTGATGTGTTACGTGAAGCACTGCTCTACCAGAGGTTCCTCACCGAGTACGTGGGGCTGGATCTTGGGAGCAGGGCTGTGCGCGGGATGCAGCATGCTGTGGAAGGAACAAGGAGTGACTGTTCTGGCCATTTCAGCGGTGTACGATGTCTTTGTATTTCATCGACTGAAGATGCATCAGATCATTCCTGCTTTATACAAGGTGAGTTGCCTTTCTGTAAGCTATTTGTAAGACACCAAGCACTGTTACACAGGTGCTAAATGAGTTTTCAAGTACACAGTAATTCTTAGTAGTTTAGTCAACTCCCAAAAATAAGCACAGATGTCTAATGCTGAAAGCACATTTTATTTAAACAATGTGTTGTTATCTATAGCTATTGCTTCACGCTGGGGATATATATTTTTTAATTACTTTCCTGGCTCCCAGCAACTCCCTCCTTATTCTGTGCTCATCGAGCACTGGATATCTGACTGTCTTTTGCAAAGAATTCATTCATGCTCTTATCCTCTTGTATCTTGCAAACTCAGCTTAGTTTGGTCAGGCCTGCAAGTGCAGCAGTTTGTCATCTGCAGACTCCCTGAGGCAAAGATAGGGCTCTTATTTTTCCAGTTCAACAGAGATGCGTAGGACCTGAGTGCGTGCCTTTGGCATGTATTTTTTCTCACTCTAGTAGGAGCTATGACTCAAATGTATTATTGCCTTAATATTTCTCATATTTTGACTTCCTGCCCAAGAGCAAAAAAGTAAAATAAGTAAACAAACAAGCCCACAAAACCCCCCTAACTTCCCTCTCCCAAACCCATGTTATTTTAGTGGTACCTAGAAATGCCAGCCAAAGTCAGGGCTCATTTACATCAGGTGCTGTACAAATGAGTAAGCTGAATATATGTAATTTTATTTTCAGTGAAATGTCTGTCTTCCAGAACAATACTGACTAAACAGAATGAAAATGTTTCACAGGGATCTGTTGTCACATTTTCCAATGAGATATAACCAAGAAAAGCAATAGAGCAATATATGGCTTTGCAATCTTTCTCAAAGACGGTGATTTTAATATTTTGATTTCTTACTCAAATGAATCGAATAGAAATTGTAGATTTTGATAATGAAGTGATGATTTCTGCTTGTAGACAATATGTATCTGTAGTATACAAGGAAAATAGAGTGAAAAAACCAAGTCTCTGGTGCTTCTCAAACTACTGTGACATGTTGACTTAGTTATCATGTTATTTTCTGACAAAAGTGGAAATGAAAGAATGATTTTTTTTTGTATGTTACACTGTGTACCTAAAGCTGAGCGGAAACAAACAGTAAATGGAGTAGTGTGTGTGTGTGTGTGTTTGGTTTTTTTTGTTTTTTTTTTTTAAGTGCATCTGTAAGAGCAAGCTTTATTCTGAAAGATACAGGATGAGGTTTTGTCAAGTGCTTCAGGGAGTTTGGTTCATCACTCCAATGTTAGCCTATTCTACAGAATTAAACAGTGGTAAAAACATTCATATGACACATCCAAAATTCTGAACATCTTGTGTGTGACTTCACACCAAATCTGAACTAGTGTTCCTCACAACCTCTCGCCATTACAGCCTGCAATGGCCAAGATACAGTTATAGAGCAGCTAGGAAGTTAATACAGAACATTCATTTCTCAAAACCAAAACCTTTGCAGATGTTTCTGATGAAGTTCTCACGGAGAAAAGCTTTTTCTTCCCTTTTTTGCCCTTTTCCACTTCAGGGCCATGGTATTACTGGTCTGGAAGAGACCTAAGTGGCACAGGTCAAATCCAAGCTTCCACATACTAACTCTTTAAACACAAGGCCTCTCATTCTAGGTGTGGAGCTTTATATTTGGACACCTGGCTTGTGTGGCTTTTTTACCCAGCATCAGACTTGTCTTGGACAGCAAACTAGTGTCAATGCCTCAATTTTTTTTCCATCTGTAATGATAGAAATAATAATTCTGTGCTTTGTAGATTGCAAGCCTTTATGAAGATTGGATTTTAGCTGGAAGGAATTTTATGGGGAGAGACCACAGTGAACAAAAATATGAATATTTAGCTTAATCTGCCAGAAATGTGTTTCCTAATTCACTGAATTACTAGGCTACCTTTTACTTGTACATCTGTTCAGGCTGAGCGCTGCTGACCAAATTTTACCTGGATACTAAGGAAGCCTCTGTTCATTTACAGTGATATGAAGCTCATCTGGGAGTTTCAATTATAAAATATCTCAGCTTCTTTTTTACTTAAAATTTTTTTAAAAATTTCACAAATTACGTAATTTTTTGTAAGAACATATCATCCTGCAGGGCAGGAATATCTTCATTGACCTTGCCTGTTATGGAAAGTGTTTCTTTCTGAGTACTTGTTGGTATACTCTTTTGTCCTCAAACTTTGCATGGCCTCTACCTTTAGCATTGCAATTTGCTGTTCCCAAACACTCCATGGGAAGAAAATGAGTGAATTAGAAGCCTTTTGTAAGGATTGATTTTTGTAAGTCAAAATAAATATAGATAGACAAGCATCTCAAAGAGGAACAAAGTTAGCACCTTAAAAGCACATTAGAGCCAATGCTTCAGTCTTCTGGAAAGCTTCATACTGTCTAGTAAGAACATTTTAGAGCAATAAAAATATGATTTCCCTCAAAAAGATACTGAAAATAGTTATTCTAGTGTATTGCCTTTTTTTTCAGTCGGTATTTTCTGAAGTACTTTCTCACTATGTTTATATTTGCTTTGGTCTTTGAATTTTAACTTTTCACATAAAATGCTGTTTAGAGAATGTTCAAGTTAGTGAGACTCTCTGGCCTGCTCCATCAAAGACTGGAAATTGTTTTCAGAGGATACTATTGATTGGTATCAATAGATAATTTGATAATGACCAATGCACTTGGAGTTGATAAATTTGGATTTTGATTCTAACACGCCTGACCAATGTTTAACAAGTACTGACCATGAGGGCAAATAGGTGTTGTCCTCTTGATTTGAAATTACTTTTTAGATTGATTTGCAAATAATTTCAAGATGATTATGCTGTAACATTGGCATTTTGAAGTGATAGCCTGGCTTTTCTGAAATAATTATTAAGAACCGAGTGAAGTTTTCTTACTAAAAGCCTTGATTTTAGTTTGGCTTTGTGTGTTTATACATACAATGATAAAGACAAGTGGGTTGGGTTGGATATATTTTTTTTTTTAATTTAAAGTATGTAGCTAACATTAATTTCTGCATTGTGCAGAATTAAAGCGCAGGCTCAAAAATGAAGAAAGGTTTCAACTCTGCATCTCTTTGGGATCATTTGGGTGTTGCCTTTTTCTTGCTGCTGCTTAGGCATTAAATAAAATGTGTCCCTAGTAAGAACTGACAAATTCTTTCTTCCTAGGACAAACTGTAAAATCTCCTTAAGCAAACAAAATTAACTTTTGCATTAGAGATTTTATTTATTTTCTTTAATGTTGTTGACCACACTTTTTCTTGCTTGAAAAGACATTCCTGCATTGCAAATTGCTTGAGACAGAATTAGCCATCTACAGATGAGTCATCCTGTGTTATCCAACTGACTTGAGCATTTAAAAAAACTGGAATATGGTTTAAACTGAAACAAAAAGCCTCCCACTAAACAAACCTCCATCTCATCAGAGGACTCTTCGTTGGAATGTCTGGGCAATTAGAATTATGTCCATTTACCTGCTCTGGAATTTGTGCTTTGTATTTTCGCAATTTAAATCTTGGGGGAGGTCAACTACAGGAGGAAGGGGAAAAAAAAGATACCAAAAAAGGCAGTCTCAGAAGAATTTAGGGTCTTTTGTAGTGCATTGGAGATGAAAAATGTAGAATAGAGCCAAGGAAGAAAGGAGAATAATTTTAAGAGGTGGTTAGCTCAAATCTGCACTAAATAAGTAAGCAGTAACAATGTGAAACTGAATGCTTTGTAACAATGTGAGAAAGGAACTATCCCTTAAGCTAAACTCTGTCCAGCTGAGCTGACACAGCTGTTTCCTAGGTTGCAAACTGGAACCAAGAGGAAAAACATTAAAAAGTAACCCTTAACACTCCCCCCTGTCTCCCCCGATATATCCCAGATATATCTTTAGGAGTTATTGTAAACCTGATTCAATTCAATTATATCCTGTCCTCAACATTGTCCTGCCCAACAGCTGTACTGGCAAATATTGAGAGGAAAGGTGAGGTGTGAGGGCAGAAAGAAGGAATGGAGAGTAAGGGTTTTGGGGGAGCGGGTGGTTAAGGATGTGGTCTGACTTGGTGCTAGACTATGGCTTTCAGCTTTATAAGCTTTTTCGTAATATACCACTGGGAAAACTGAGACATGATTAATTATGCTTAAAGAATAGTAAAAGTACTGACCTTCTTCAGGATGGTCAGTGAAGGATGAGCTGGTAAGAGCAGCTTTAAGAATGCTTCGGCAGATGGTAGGATATGACATTGGGGTGACAAGCCTGTTTTTTCCATTTTGTTCTTACCTTTGGGATGAGCTTCCAACAAATACAAAACAGTGGCTACTACACAGGACCAGTAGCTGTCTACTGGGCTCACACCTATTATGTGAGTTCTGATTTGTCTCATCAAGTATATGACAGCATCTCAGTACAATTTGAATAGACTGGCAGAATTTATGAACAAGGCAGCTGCGGAGCAGGACCACCAGCAGAGCAGATGAATATTACCCCTTATTTCCAAGCTATTCTCAATGAACTTTAAAAATGTACATTGTAGCTACTTATTAAACTATCTAGCCCTTTCCCCTGTCATCTGCATATTGGTTATTCAGTAGAACTTGGCTGCTGATTTTTTCCTTTTGCCAAGTCTTGTATTCCTGTCTGCCTGTGATGCTCTCACTCTGGCTGGCGAAGTTGTCAGTCTGGACCCCATTTCATTTGGTTAGCTCTATTTTATTCTGTCTGACTGGCTGACAAGAATGTATTTGCTATCTTTAAGTCAGCAGATTTCGATGGAAGTGTATTTATTGTGGTTGTAAATGAGTTGTCTGAAACGAGAACAATTAAAAAAAAAAAGTGGTGCTGTGCTGGGGCAAAGCATTCCTTATGGAAGAAAGTCAGGCTTTTGTTTGATTCTTCAGTGGTTTAGACCTTGAGTCATTTCCAGTGTAAGTTGTGTAGCAGTTATGCAGGTTGAGTTGTCATGTATCATAGGTATCAGATGATTGTACCCGTCAGCAGCTAGATTTGTGCAATTAAACCACCAAAAGTGTAGGGGTGGGAGAGGGGAACCTGAATATGGGAGAGAGCTGTGATCAAGTTTGTAATTACAGAAAATATGCTAATTCAGAGGCCTATTTTTTTTGTATTTGCAATCTCCAGCTTGAGAGTAGAACCATTAATCAACATTGCAGTACACAGTCTTCTGTCCAATTAGTACTACAGAGCTAATATAAACTTTTTTTTTTTTTTTTTTTTTAAGTGGGAATGGAGCTGGACAACATTAGGAGTTAAAAAGATGGGGCAAATACATTTAAAGCTCATTTTTAATACAATGGTAATGACAAAACATTTATTGCTCTGTGGTTTCTGTGTACAAACTACCTTACAGAAATAACTAAACCAGATGTATGTTCAACTAATGTTCCATTGCTACAGTACAGTAACATTTTACCAGATCAACATATTGTTAGAACAGGGGTTTGTTATACTAAAATAAGAAAACCTTTCTTTTCCCATCACTTACTTGATTAAAATATCCCTCCAGGAGGTCTGTCTCACATGTGGAATTAGTTATTGATATCTATAGCTTAACGTGAACCACAAATTGGATTGCAGCATGCATTATCTAACCTTCTGTGCTATTATAACAGTATTGGTTTTGTAAAAAGGAATTTTAATGGAGGTCTATATTTTATTTAAGGTAGTGATGTAAACCTGGGGCCTCCATGGATGACATGGTCAACCACCAAACCAAGTTTTATAAAACACTACTTTCCTTTATGGTCTTGGAACAGCCTTAGTTGTGGGTGATATGTATGATTTCTGCTCAGAATACTGAGCTACTGATTTTTGAGAACACTCTAAACTTGAAATAAGCCACTTCCTTCATTCTTTACTCTTTGAAGTCACTACTTTTAGAACTATTGTGCTTTGGAAAGCAATTTCAAAATAAAATGCTGCTCTTGATTTGTATTTTCAGTTTTATTGTTCTGAGGAGCTCTAAAGCTTTAGCAATGCGGTAGTTGGTCTTGCTGGTTTCTTACCTCTTCTCCGTCTACAGTTATGCCATTTTGCAGTAGTGTTTTATCACTATTTAAAATCTAGCTTGATAGTTTATTTTCTGCCTGTTTTCTACAATCTAGGGAATATTCATTATGCCTGAACATGCCCACAGGCCTGGATGTTTTGGCAAAATCGGTAAGCTATTATTTTGTACTTATTTCTCTCGAACATTTGCATGGGTATGGTCAAGCCTTAATTCCATGTCTTTGAAATGCATTGTATGACTGATAAGGCAGCAGCTGGTCCTTTGCAGGACAGACTTCATTCTTGGAATCAGATGTTTAGTAAATGTGCTTTTCCTTGAGACTACTTTTGTCCCAGTTAAAAATATTAAATAATGTACAGCTTCAAAACATGTCCTGATCTCTTGCAGGTTCATTTTGTCTAACAAGAGCTTCATATTCAAGTGCACTAAGCTGTTAAATGTTGCGTTTGTGTGTCCTATATATAACCTTTTGAATTTCAAGAGCTGAAGAAAAGATTGAGACCTCCATTGCCAGCTGGGGCTCAGTCTGTTCCCTAGCTGTGATCTCTTATTCTGTAGTGGTCAGCTGGGGGTTAATTTTTCTGGCAGCTTTAAGTCTCTACAAAATTGTGGAAATGATGAGATGAATGTGCCTGCACATACATTGCTCATATTTGTGGATGAGGCAGCCCAGTGCTTTTCTCTTCACTCTGCTGGATGGCAGCAGCATGAGGCCTGTACGGTCTTGACCATCGCTCCCCATCCCCCCAGCAGATACTTTCTAGACAAAAGAAGCTTTTTGCAATTTACTTCTTTCTTGACAATTTCAAGTAGCTAAAACTGCTGTTTCCTGTAGTTCCCACAGCTCCTTGCTGCTTTTCCTTTTGATCCTGAAATAAAAAAAAGCAAGATTGGCTTCCACTATCTTTCTTCTCAGAGATACTGTTCTCCTGCAGGTCCCTGTGATGTTACTGGAGTGGTACTGAATTGGACATGAATATGTATAAATAGCTGTTGTTTCCTGAAAATATTTTCATGGGGTGATTTAAACCACTGAAACAGGTCGTATATAACAGAAATACATCATCATAAGGCAAATTTAGCAAATGTATTTTTTTTTAAATGAGGAATCATAAGCTATCTTGCCAAGTCACTGACTTAAAATGGATTATATTTTAATATTAAATCTGTAATGTCTTTTTTGAAATTGCTACTAAAATCTGCATTGCTTTTGTCTACCCACTTAAAGTCTACAATAATATTTTGGAGACTATATTTGAGAATTCCTCCCTGGAAAGAAGGAAAAGGCAAAAGATTCTTTAATAAACAAGTAGGTACATTTTAAAAAAAGAGAAGTCTTTTCATATTTACAGAGACTGAAGACATGAAGAACCTTCAATTTAACAGGTTAGTTTGCTAGATAAAGGTTGTCAGTGTCTTCAGTCTTGCATAAGATTTATACTGCATGGTAGCATGCAAAGTATGCTGTGTTCTTCCATTCTTCCCCCTGGCTTGAAAGGGATCTCCTTTGATGCAGAGGGTGAAAAAGCTTCCAGGAGCTTTGCACAGTTGGTGTTAGCACTTATTTTTCATTCTGAGATTACATGCCATGTACTAACATCAAACAGAGTGTGAATTTTTCATGGTGTTTAATTATAGGGTGTTGGTGGGCTTGCTGCTTGCCAGTTTACAAAACCTGTGCAAATAATATCAATCTGACAATGTTACTCTCCTAGCTTTTAATATTTTCAAAATATTTAACCATTCAAGTGAAAGCACCAAACTTACTATGGTGTGTAACAACTGTGTTTCAGCACATTAGGAATTTTTGCAGGTGTTGGTTTTTCTTCATCTTTGTGATTACTTTTAGCTCTCTAATTAATTGAAGCAGCTTTGTAAAACTGTTGTTTTTCTAACAACTGACAATTTTCCTGTTTAAAATACCAGAATCAAAAGCAGTTACATTTAATGCTTTTTGGTAGGGATGGTCAATGTATTAAGTAACTTATGCTGAGATAAGGGACTTGGCTACCTGTGAACTTTAAGGGATAAGAAATATATGTAGCTTTGGCCCATCTTCAATTTTCCACTTGCTCATGAGCTGGAAAGTCATGTCCCTTTTTGCTCTAGCTCTGCTTCTCCCATGAGTCAGTTGTCTGGGTATTGGCCACAACATGAGAAAAACAATATACAGTGCTAAAGCTAAATAGTGTTTTAATGAACTGAACGTCTCCTGGTGTAATTCCTTTCCTGTAGATTTGCTTCAGGAGTTACGCCTTTGTACTTACACTTATTTTGGCATCTTGGTTAAAAATGCATGCATTCATGACTGTCAAGTATTTATCCCTTGTATTTGTTAAATGCCAGACAGAAAGTTTATACCTGTGCATTGCCTGCAAATCTTCAATCATGAGTATTTTCCATTAGCCTCCTAATGTCACGTTTAGGCACCTAAATGATTTGCTGAAGTGCTGAATGCTTGTATGTCCTGGTGGGCTTTGCTGAGTGAACTCATTGCACTTGGTCGATCTCAGCTAAGTATCAAACTAGACTGTCTGCTTCTAGCAGTCAGGGGACATGCTAATAGTGCCGGAAGAGAAAAACCTTTAAGTGTGTCCCCAGTCAGAATCAAATAGATTAGGGAGCAGGTGCAGCTTCTGGATGCTCCGAGTTCTGACTCCCAGTAGTGCAATACAGCACCTTTGGGAAAGATAACACAGCTGAGAGTATGTGAAGATCAGGCTCCAGGTTGTTTTGAGCATCTTAACTGTAGTCATCTAACTTTGAGAACTGTAGTGCTGGGAAATCATTGTCTGAGTCTGTTCAATGGAGCTGTATTTTCAAACAGTTGTCTTCCTAGAGTCCTATGCAAGAGAGCCATTCCTGGCATGTGATCATGACCTCTGATTCCAGGCTCGGGAGAACATGTTTTGAAGGAGCAGGAACGTACGCAAACCCTGAGCCATGAGGGAGATTTTTTTCTTGGTATTAGGTTTAATTTTGAATTTCCTGGCTTATGCTCATTTTTACTTAAGTTGTAATGATGTAATGATTATGTGCACTCTTTTTCCAAGCTGAGTGTTTCTAAACATTAACCCAGGTAGACAGTTACAATATTAAAAAGGGGTAAAATACAAGTGTATGAGACTTACAGTGGAAACAGCCAGTTGGGATAGAAGGCAGCAAACATTTTATGTCCTGTTTACTGAAGGAACTGAACAATATTTTGTATATGTGCGTGTATTTTTTTTTTTCCAGCTGCAATGTAGATTACATACGGGGAGGAAAGGAACCCATGCTTGCAGTCCTGTAGCTGACTTTATGGATCAGTTGTTAGGAGGTAAATTTCTCCCCTCGCTGATGTTGAATGTCTCTTGGAAAAAGAGAGAATCCCTTGATGCTAAGGGTAGTTCACACTGGGAAGAGGGGGAAAGCAAAATAGTTTTTGTTCCTAAGTTTCTAGAAAACTAATTGAAAATGCCCCTTAGGAAATGATGTTAAAATTATCCAAAAGCTTTTGGGGTAAGGGAGAGAATTTGTGTACCTGGCTTTAAAAATGCCAGGTAGAACATATGTACCTTTTTATGATTAGAATGGCAAGACTTTCAGACACATACACAGATTACTTCTAAGGCTGTAGACTTGATTGGGTTGTGCAAAAGTCAGAGCTGCTGTGACATTTAATCACCAAATTTTTTTTTTTCTCCTTGACAATAAAATATAGAAATAAATTCCCATAGTAACAAAATCTTTAAAGTGAGTATAGGGGCATATTGAGATAATAAAGGCACTGAGGAAGCAGAGGAAAAGAGAGGGTAGATTTATATTGAATCTCTGTAAATTCTTTCTCTCCCAGAAAATAGCAA